AGAAACCCCCCCCTTTATATCTGTGGAGATGAAAAACACAGCTGCCCTTAGGAGAGGTAGGATAGTGGATATTGAAATCATTCTGAATTTCTTTGTCACAATGAAGGCATTTACCTCCCTCAGATCCAATATAGGTCTCATGCCTCCATCTTTTTGGAATTGCAAGATGCTTGGAACACAGATCAGTAAACAGCTCTTGCACCCAATGGGCTTGTAACTTTGAAAACACTGATGACAGGTCCAGCTGCAAATCCTATGGCATAACCTAGTCTATTACTGTAAGCACCTGAAATTTATTCCCGACTGCTTAAACATTTTCTGAGGACTGGTGATTGAGATGGCTCTTCTATATCTGAGTTAGACCCCATTTAGACAATGGCATGATCCTGGTACACTGTGAACCTTGAGCCTTCAAAAAGGTCCTCTTTGCAGATGAGCTATATGATTTCCTACTTGAAGATCTTTCCATCAGTGAAGTTCACATGCATCCTTACCTTACATTTATTCCATGGCTGTTGCCTGTAAGGACATGTGTGAGCAAAGCCCACTGACTCTGCTGTGGAATAAAGTTTCCGAATACTCTGCATTAGTTTTTATCACTGAATAACCCAGCCCCTTCAAATGGCAAGTCCTATACATGCACTTTTGCCTTAGCCAAGCATGATGTCTAAGTGCCACTGCTCCTGCTAATATTTTAGAATTACTTTCTGCAATATGATGAGATGTATTTATCTGCTGCTTGGTTAATATGAAAGCCTCTGCTTGAACCATGAGGCCTGTCTCTCTATGCGCTGAAAGAAGATGTGGAATCACAGATGATGTGCACTCCCATAATTCATATTGCTACCTAGCCATGCATGCTGAATAGTTTGCAATCCAAAGGGACAATGCAGCAGATGAATAACATTTTCTGCCCACAGCATCCAGTCTCCTGCTCTCGTTATCAGTAGCTGCTGAATGGGGTTTTACTTATTTTTAGACACTGCTGCCTCTACCACAATTGAATTTGGTATAGGACGTGCAGAGAGGTACTTGGTAGTCTTCCTTTTATACACTGTACATGCCCTCCAGCCATCATGCCGTAAGAGATGTTGATGCTGGCTTGTTCCATTCAACCTTTGTCACCTACAGTAACACTGGCAGCATTGACAAAGCTACTGGGGCCTGAGCATTGGAGTCCAGTAGTCAAGTACTGGATCTGGAATTGCTGCTGGTGGTGTTTCATTTCCAATCCCAAAGCATCAGCCATTTTTGTGACTTGTTCAGTATATATTTTTATTCCTCTGATGGTGCGCGAGACTTGTGTTCAGAAACCAGAGATGTAGGGGGAAATCAGAAGCTTTATCCCATGATGCAAAATTTGCAGAAATCTTGCTCTCCATCCAACAGCAAGAGGAGACTGAGGAGGGTGGATGTTTCAATGTGAAGGCTGCAGGATTCCTTTCTGTCTGTTCTACAGAGTATAAGTCCTTCTGATATTGCAAAGACAGAGGAAAGTTTTGCTTAGTGGTTGAACTTCAAAAATTTTAGTTTGTTTTGTCTCAGAAGCAGCGTAAACGATATACCTTCAGTATCATGCTCTAGCAAAATTCTTCTCTCAATCTTGTGCACAGGCGCCCCCGAGAGGTTGATGCCTGGAATGTCTTTCCTTTCAATACCAACAGTGCAACTCCCTGCAGCATCATAGAGAACAGGCTGGGCTGTAGCCTCTGTAACTTCTCCATGAGGAATATTCTTGGTCCCGAGCATGGCAATTATAATAGGGAGATCAGCTTCTAGATCTATGAGACCTTCCATATATCTCTCTGTAAGAACTGGCCATGCCAAAGCCATGATGGCTGCATCTCAGACTGTAGAGATATGTAGAGTCAATTCCCTTACTGGAGAGTACTCCCTACACCACGAAAGCTGCACGACTACCTCTTTGCTGAATATCTCTGTATCAATTACTTCTCTGATACCAGGAGTCAACTTTTTTTTACCCGAGACTGATGTTTTGTATCCCAGTCCACAGGTGCATCTACTGATGTCTCTTCAATCTGTCTCTCTGAAAGGGATGCTGCTGGTGAGCTTAATAGCTTCTCCTGCAGCTGACTGTTCACTTCCCAGTCTGTTTGGAAGATCTTCATGACTGGTGTGACAATCTCAGTGCCCTGTACTGGCACTGATTCCTGAGGTATTGGTGGGCACAGGTGGTTTCCCAAGTTTTGATATGTTCTTTGGGGTTTTTTATGGTTGCTTGATAACTCCTCTGAAGTATGACATTTAGCAACCTTTGATTTCTGCTTCTGCACCTTCAGCTCAGCAGACTTCTTTGCACAATACCTCTGTTTATGCTGATTAGACAGGGAGTTATTTGCATTTGGATTGCTTGATACCAATGCCATGGAATCTGACACTGTTACCGCTGGCATTGTCAGGACTGTGGACGAGCTGTAGTAAGAGCTTTAGTCTGTTTTATGACTAGTTTGTTTTGTACACTTAAGGCAATGCCCACTTTATCCTCCTCCTCCAAAAACAAAAGACAAAGACGGAACAATTCTTAAATATTGTGTGCTGGGAGCACACAGCCCACATTTTAAAAAAACTTCTTCTTTACTCCTTTATTTGTAGCATTTAAACAGAGAGTTTGAAGAAACTGAGAATAAGAAGGTTCTTGTAGAGGCAGCTGCTGCTGCAGAGGTTAAGGAAGAACTGATGGATAAATGCTGCTCCATCCACTTCAGGTGCACGTGATGAGCTGCTGCTGTGGCTGGGCAAGCTCATGTCCAAAGTTTTATAGGTTCCAAGGCTCTGCATGTGCACACTTGAGATCCAATATATGTGGTGCACAGAGACCATGAAGAGAATCAGCTGTTTCAGAACCCTTAAGCCTGGCCCTTCAGAAGTAAAACACCAAGAAATATGATTGCAAATTTGGGCAGGGGGTTCCTGCATTGGGCAGGGGGTTGGACTAGATGGTCTGTATGGCCCCTTCCAACTCTATGAGTCTATGAAATCACAGCAGTCTTTTGGTAGCTGTTTAAAAATCAGAGAAAAAGTGAACACTGGCTTATTAAAGCATCATCACTACAGGACCACTCCCAGACCAAAGCAATACCACACAACTCTGTTGCCACTGAAGTTATAGGTGTGTAATTCACACAAAATAATCTGCACCCAGTAACCTGGCACCACATTCTCTAGCTGTTACCATCACAGCTGCCTCCATCTCAAGCCCTTTTACTGTAAGAGATTGCAGGAAGGTTTTGCTGAACACAAGCTGGTAACAGCCTGGATGAAGGCTAATAAACTGAAATTAAACCTGTTGACGACAAGCTCTGCATGCCCAGAGAGATGGCATTCTGGGTCTAGCTGTTTTATTCTCCAGAGCTCTCTCGAATGCTGCAGGGGTTGTGGTTTTTTTTTTTTTTTCTCCTTCTCCAGGTTCTTGATTTAGTGATATTGGATTGTGTTTCTTTAACTCTTTTCATAAGCTACCATGAACCTTTATACAGAAAGGTAGGAGAAAAATATTAATACAAATCCAGATTTCCTGGAATGAACTTATGTAGTAAAATAGTGAACTCTCCAGTGTTCTATACCATCTCAGGTAATCAGCAACATCCAGAGAGCACAGCACAACATTACATTTTTGCTGCTGCATAAGCTTTAAGTAAGTACCAAAATGCAATCTTGTCTTTGGAATCTAGTACAATGCAGTGCCTTGGTGATACAAAGCAAATGCAGCCAAAATGACTTGTGAAGAGCAAGTGACTGGAGAAAAGTTTTTAAAATCCATTTTTGTACCAAAAAGACAATTTCGCCTGTGCAAAGACTAAATAAGACCTTTGTATGCTTCTGATTGCCCTTTCTAATCCTGTACCCTGTATACGCGCTCTTTTCCTCCTACCTAAATCTTTGTTCCCAGTTTTGAGTTCCACATAATGACATATCATCAGGAAATAAGTGGGAGGACATATACTAATTCCTACTTCAGTGAAGGCTGATGGTTTGGCAGTTTGAATCTCCTTGCAAATGCTCTCTGCCTCTCACATCAGAATAACCTCTCACTTTACATAAGAGCACCTTATTGGAAAGTGCTTAGCAAATGCCGCTGCACTTGGCTGAAGAGCCACAGCCCAGAGATATTCCGCATAGGCTAGACAGTGGATAATGCTGGAAAGGAAGGTCAGAACCACAAAGAAAAAATAAAAAGCACTGAGATCCTGATGTGTTATATACAAGACAACCCCCCCCCCCCGCTGCCCCAGTAAATTTCACTTTCATAGAAAGCAACTGAAACAGTTCAGTATTTGCACAGAAAACAAAACTGTTGCTTTAAAGTACTGAAAGAAATGAAGGTTTTTCACTGCTCAAAGAGATGGCTGTTCCTGCATTAGGCATTTCAACTCCAGTAAGGCTTCCAATGGGAAGGAGAGAATGGAAGTCCATCAATTATGGTACCCATACCAACTGCGAGAAAAGAAAAAAAAGGGCAGCAAAAATATCCAAACTGTGCAAAAACAACAGTGGAAGTATAACTAGCGTTAGCAATAATATTTATCCAGTGCTTTCAGTACAGTTATTGTTGGATTACCATTCCCCCAATCTCTTACAGTACTTTCTTCATTTCTACCCTGAAACAAGTCCTTTGAAAGAGAATAGCACTTAAAGATGGTACTCTTTCTCCTAGAGCAGTCTTTTTCTTACTTCTGATTATTTCCAGCTTCTCAGCAACCTACCTGCATATCTTCATTCCCTCACCTGTCATGCTCTATTAAATACCAGCACTTTCCCCACTGTTATCCTGTCCTCCTTTGCCAACATCTAGACTAGGATCTGTCATTATCACCATTCTGTACCCTTGTGATAGGGTCTACAATGAATAAGTTTATTTACAGGTGCAATTTTTAGTGTAACTAATGGGTTGTGGTCACTTCATTACCTTGTCTCTCCCCTCAATTTTTATTAGGGAGGAAGTTACAGGTTGTGGAACTTCTAACTGTTTCGTCACTTACCTTGTAGAGTGCATATGCAGTTATTAAATTTCCACCCTGAGAATTCTTTAGTATATTTACAATGCTTGAAGGCAGTCCTAAGGATTCGAGGAAAGGAACAACATTTACTCCTCTGTGAAAGAAAGATAAAGTTAAATGAACAGATTACTAACATTCTTATAAATACTTATTTTGGTAAGACTGTCAAATATGAGGGATAGTTTTTTGTAAAAAACCCTACAATGTAATCAATCACGCTTTTTTAAAGCAGGACTTGTTCAATACCACTGAAATGAGTTGGAAACTGCATTATTCAGCAAACTTCATTTTAATTAAAGTATTGTTTTGAAACAGGCAATCGTGTATATAACTACTGTAATGTAACAGGACTTTGGAGGCATTTCACCAGTACTGTTTACACTTTCCTAACATCTCAAAGCCAAGAAAGGAAATACAGAAAGCTGAGGAAGGGCTGTGTTTGCAAGGAATAAGAGGTCAACTCATGTGCTTCAGGGAAAATTCTTTTTAGGTTCTTCTGATACAATAGATCCTTTAACAAACAGAATTACTGGTCATCATGGAATGCCTTTAACAATAATAACAGTTTAACCCTGAAAGAGAAAATTCTGTTCTTTTATTTTTACGATATCCTAACTTTGTCAAAGCTAAAGAACTAAAATCACTGGACAATTTTAAAAGCGTAGCCATGCATAGGACTGGATTACATGTTCCAGTACGTTTATATTTGGTGATTTATCCCACAAGGCTTATCCATATTTCATGTTCATTTGTTATTATCTGGTTTAAATTACTTTTGAGCTGGAATTTTTTTTCTTGAAATTTATTACTTATTTATTTGAAACATCTATCAGCAGCCTTTATCAGCAGTAAGAAGCTGTTAAGAATTCAAGGTGGCTTACAATATAAATAAAACAATAATAAAAAACGGAATTTAAAACCACAATTTAATACTGCACCACATTAATCAAACGTAGTTATAAAGTTTTATAGAAAATCTAAATGTCTGTCAACGGATAATCCTAAATCCTGCCTTGCAGTAGCTAATGTGTAAGTTCAGTTGGAAATTTTGAAAAATGAGGATTAACCAAACCAAACCAAAAATGTGGACACTTGTTAGATTTAAGTAAAGGCTTATTTCTGGATTGCACATGTCAAACAGAAGACATGGAATAATGATAATTTTTAATTCGTAGTTAGAAGTACAAGCCTTTGACACCACAAGGTATTATGTTTGTTTTAGTTACTCTAACCAGCTGGCATTAAGTGCCCTTTCTAGGAGCTATGGATCCAAATGTCATTCTAAATTTATCACTTCTCAGAGTAATAAAGCTCCCAAGCCATTTAATATTTTGCTTTACACAGATCCAAGTAAAACATTCACCTCCAGGTATTTTAGACTAAGTGAAGGTTGACTAAACAAAGTTTGAGACCAGTGGCACCTCTAAGACCAACAAAGTTTTATTCAAAGTGTAAGCTTTGAATAAGATTGTCTGGTTTCTCTTAGTCATCATCTTTGGCCATCAAACATACATTCAGGAATTTGCATATTGAACTAGAAACTAATTAGGGTCAGTGCTTATGTGCAAAAAACCCCATAGCTTTGAAAGTGATAAAGTTACTCAAGCAATACACGACTAATCAATGAGGCTCACTCCCATGAAACTGTTCTTAGGACTGCACTGTAAACCTGGGAACTGAAAATCTATACAGAGTAATCATTTATGTCCTATGCCCAGGAATATCTATGACTCTGAGCAAAAGCAATATATAAATCCTGGGAAAACTCCTTCTGTGAGTACTGTTTAATCAACATATCATTACTCAGAACTTTTCACAAGCATTTGGTGATTCTAAACAGTACTTGGAGAATGTCAAGTTACGTACAAGTGAATCTGAGGTAGTGATGCATGAATATGCCTTTCTTTTAGTTTTTAACATATTCATTATATGCATCCATAATAAACTCTTTGCTAGTTTTCTTGCTTTGTTTATTCTATTATAGTATTTATATTACAAGATACTTTAATACAAAAACAAGTATCAGTTTTAATAATTTCTACTGGATGTTATTATAATGCGAGGGAAGATGACTGAAATTTTATGTCAAACAGAGAAAACCCATATCAGAAACTGGTATTTTCAAACTGACTGTGTGTGTCCATAAAATTCAATAACATTCCAAACCTGGAGAGCTTGTAGCCAAAAAGCTTAATTTTAAAAAATCCAGTTTTTTTATACTTTTCAGTGAGACTACAATATTACACAGATCCTATTTCTATGTAAATGAACATCCGTGTAAGTATCTCAGATTAGTACAGTGTGACCATATGGCAGATTATTCTGGTAAAAGAGACTATATTTTGTACAGTCTCTGTAGCACCAATGTGTTACGTGCCATGACCCTGTGCCATTTATCACCCATTTCAAAACACAGGAAACAGGAACACAAAACTAATTCTGAAATGGAAACTAAAATAAGAGAAATTAATATAAATGGAAATGTTCTTACAGAAGGGCTTTACTTAAAATGGGCTGAACCAAAGTTCTTGATTAACTGATGCAGCAATTAAACTTTGTTTTTTAAATTCAAGTTTAGTACTGTGATTGGCTACAAATAAGACATTTTTTTCTGCTTATATTAAGCATGTAGAAATAATTATTTGGGTCACTGATAACCAATACTGTCCAGTTTCTTCAGCAGTTGAATGTAGTGAAGTACAGTTTATAAGGCTCTTCAGAAAGAACTGAAAACTGTTTCAGGTTCTCAAGCAATAAATCTATTCCTCCAGGACAAATAAAGCAGTGAACTTAAATATTTAGTACTTATATATGACTCATGTATGCAGCAACAGATTTAGCTACTTTGTTGAAGGAGTAAAAAATAAAATTTATATCATGCCTACCATTACATAAGAAATCTGTAAGCAACTGTAACAATACATATTTAGAAGCAGACAGTTGGAACAATCTTACTCTCTTCCTTCAGGGCAAGGCAGCATGTTCTATAACCCTTATTTCTTCTGTCAGATGAGACAAGACCACTCAGAAGAACAGCAAGAGAAGCAATACAAACAGAGGACCTCATCAAGAACAAAATATACAAACAAGACATAAAATGATGATATGGTCTTGGCATCTTAGAATGAGAAAGGGAGAAAATCTGAGTGGACTATCTCATGCAATTTTATCAGTTCAGAGACCTTCTATCCAGTTTAGGAGGAGACACTGACTCAAAAACACAGCTGTGCACATGTATGTGGCTTCATTCTCAATATAATACTGCTCCTTCAAAATACTAAATTGCTACATGGAATAGAAACGTTCTATATTCCCTAAACCGCTGTAAAGATTTAAGATTTTAGTAAACAGCACAGAAAGTTTCAGTTTTGAATATTTAGCATGAACCATATTGCATATGTATCCTAGTTAAGATTTGGTTGATAAGCATAAAAATAATTATACAATTCACCACTTACTTTAAAGATGCATAGTAAAAGGCTCCAAACCATATGCTGGAAGTGAAAAGATGCACTGAAACAAAAACTTTTCCATACTGCTTAATACCTCTCTTGAATCTCTGCACGAGACTAAGTGACTTGTCTTGTAGGGGATCAAGCTCTGCAGAACTTGGATCTACAGGGGCTCCTTGGGCTAAGTTACCTGTTGTTCTGGTATGTGTTTCTTTGTTCAGTTCTTTAGAACGAGAGTCTTCTGGTTGGGATGATACTCTTCCCAAAGATTCTGTTTCCTTGGAAACACAAACAGTAACAGATGCATGTAGACACTGATGTTGGGAGCTCAAAGCCAAGGATATTCTTTTGTATCTAGGATTAAGCAAGGAGGGTTGTCCTTTCAAGCACTGAAAAATACAGGTGCGATGAGGTATCAAATACGTCCTGTATGCCAGCTGAAATGACCTCTGCATTCTGATAGATGGCAACAGCATACTGAAGATACAGTTATATGCAGCTCCTACGAAAATAAATAGACTGTTAAGATTAGGCATAAGTCATCTTTCTAGATTAGTATTATCATGAATTTATCAATGCAATTTAAGAACTGAGACAGCTTTTTCAAAGCTGTAGGATTAGCAATAAGGATGGGCATAAACCAGCTGATAATGTTTGTCATGAACTTGGCCGGTTCGTGGTTTGCGAACTGATGTTCGCAAACTGAAGACCCGCCACAAACTTCCATGAATTTTGATGCAGTTCATGGTGGTTCATGAAGAGCAGAAAGCAAAAACTCAGCTGTTTGTTTTAAATGGCTCTGAGCCATTTAAACCCTGCTTTCTGCTCCCCAAAGCTTTAAATGGCTCTGTCCTCACCGCTCAGCTCTTTGGAAACCCTGCTTTCTGCTCCCTGCAAAAAGCCACAGGGAGCAGAAAGCAGGGTTTATATGACTTGAAGCCATTTAAACTGAACAGCTGAGCAGCAGTCCCTGCCGTTCAGCTGTTTGGAAACCCCTGCTTTCTGCTCCCCGCTCTTTTTCAAGAACAGCTCTTATCAGAACTACGGCTTGCCCAAGGTCATCCAGCCAGGTGCAAATGGAGGAGTGGGAAATCAAACCCGGTTCTCCCAGATTAGAGTCCGTGCACTTAACCACTACACCAAACTGGAAGCAGGGATTTAAACTTTAAATGGCTCACAAATCAATATGCACCAGTTTGGTTTGCGAACTGGCATACTGATTCATGGTTCTGTTCGTGGTTCAGCCATGAACCACACTGCAAAAATGCAGTTTGTGCCCATCCCTGTTTAGCAATATGAAGCCTTCTTTACATTAGGAAAGTCAAGTGCTACTGTGAAATATAGAAAAACAAGTATTTTTTTCTTATTTTCCCAACAATTCTTACAAGAACATATTCTAGGCACAGAAATTTATGAGAAGTGGGGCCTGAGTTTTCTGCCAGAGATACTGAACTAAACCAGTTTATATTGCCCTAATACCAGAAAGAAAATGAAATAAAGTGCTAAACTTTCTAGAATATAGGTTAAATCTACAGCTAAAAAAGTAGGCTTACCATTGGTACAAATTTCCAAAGAAGCAAGAAGACACAGCTGGCAATTAGGTTATCTGACTCATTCCATAACACGTGATGTTAGTTTTATTAGTAGACTGCTTAATGGCTGAGCTGATATTTCTGTTTTTTTGGCATCTTAAAACTCGACTACATCTTAGATAATCACTGTCCTTTTCAGTCCTAGATTAAGCTCCCCTTTATGGATTAAAAGGAAAATGCTTTATATTCTTGTTCGCAGTTGTTACACCCCTTCATTAACTAAAACAGAAGCTACAAGTGCAGGTCTGAGGCAAACATTCATGTTTTAGGCAGGAATATGCATCCCAGCCTGCATCCTAGTGGACTGCATTGCCTTAAACAGAATTTCCACTTGGACTTGATAATGCACTGATTCTGAGGGCACGGAATAAAAGTGGTTACCCTGCGTGGATTATTGTGTTTGCTGGCTTTATTCAGCAGGAAGAAAGGACAGTTGCAGAGGAAGCATGAGGGTGGGGTGACCTGGAGAAATACAGGTCAATTCCCTCCCCTTACTTGTAGTGCCACCTAACTGCCAACCAACCCGTTAGTTATGGATTCATACCTGAGGGCTGCTCTCAGCTGCCCTACCAATATGTTCACCAGAAGCATGATTGCTCAAAACGTAGCTTCTCGGGGGGGGGGGAGGGGGAATGAATGGGGATAAGCATTTTTAAAATGAACTTTCTTGCATATATTGAGGGTTCCCACAGTACAAAGAAACACTTCCTGGCCTCACATTTACTGTCCCAGAGATTTCAAAGCAGTAACATCTTTAAAAATAGTAATAACAACATGTGGTGGAAAGAGCAGTCAAGTCGCAACCAACTTATGGCGACCACATAAGGTTTTCAAGGCAGAAGACGTTCAGAGGTGGTTTGCCATTGTCTGCCTTTGCACTGCAACTCTGAACTTTCTTGATAGTCTCCCATTCAGGCACTAACACGTGCTGATCCTGCTTAGTTTCCAAGATCTGACAAAACAGGATTAGCCTGGGCAGTAGTAACAATTGTTGTTGTTCAGTCGCACAGTTGAGTCCGACTCTTCGCGACCCCATGGACCAGCTCCCGCCAGGCCCTCCTGTCTTCTGCCGTCCTCTGAAGTTGGCTCAATGCCAAGTGGCAAAAAGCTTATTTGCAAGGGATATTTTAATTCTGTGAAAATGGTTCATAATCATAAACCTTATAAATGTTAGATCTCTGCATCTATTTAACTTTTAACATCTGTCCTCAAAAAGACTTTCTTAGGTTCAAAACTATACACGATCACGGGTATCTGTGTTCAGAGTTCCAGATACGTAGCTGAGCTTCACAAGATAGGTAAGTATTTTATGGGGGAACACTGCATGGAAACGGGGGAATTAACTCCTCCCCCATTCCATTTCCCTGATTGGAAATGTCCCCTTTCCTGGCTGCTTTAAGCCCTAGAGGGGAGTGGGGATCATAAATGCAGTCAGGGAGAACAGTCCCTACTACGGAAACAGTGTGGTGGAACAGGGGGAGAGTTATTCCCCCTAACTAGCACTGTGATCCCCCTGCAGCTTCTTTATGTGTCTGGTGATCCAAACACAGACCCCTGCATCACTTGTAGTTTGGCTTTAAAAACAAGATACTATTGCCTTCACTTTACTGACTGCCAAAAATGTTGGGTGCCCTGGGCTCAACGCTGCTCAACACCCAAGCCTCACAGCTCAAATTTAACAGCGCACCTACTCAACCACACTCTTTTTCAACCTCACATAATCCTAATTATGGTTTCCAGCCCTAGGATTATACTCTTCATACTTCCTGTTCATGTAAGATTTGTGCACACTACCTTTATTCAGAAAAAAAATACACTTCAGCCTATCCCAAGAGCTGTCACCAGCAGCAACTGCCTGATGCACTTTAAATACTCTGTGAGACTGAAAGATCCCCACGCACATGCCTAAAAGCTTTGACATACGTACCAAAGCTTCCATTATAACCTGTTTCAGTGACAGTTTGGGGGACAGGAGTTTCATTTTCAGAAGTGCTTTTGGTGAACATGCTCAACATGCATTCGTGTGCAACATGAAGGAGGACATATAAGCCTGGTCTTATTTCCCATACTTTCTGTCAATTATGTTTTACTGGTTGGTGCTTTAAAAGCAGCTGGCTAGTGCAGCTATCTATAATTAACTACATGGACACATCCAAAGTTATGTTATGCCCTCTAGTGCATCCTCCCTACATAGCAATTGATGCAATGAACATTCTAATTGACTAAGGGTATAGTCAATTCCTCTGTTTACTACCTAAAGAAGATCTTCATACTACTGGAATATTTTCTACCCCAGTAAAAGTAATATATCAGCTATTTCATAACCTCACTCTTTCATTCTGCATGTTTTCCACATGGCTTTCAACATGGCTAAACTGCCTTAACATTTCTGGTTACTTCCTTCTAGCTATATAACAAACTAAGCCAGAAGTCCTCTGTGCACAAGTTAATAAACAACATTCAGTTCTTGGCTGGTACCTATTTCTGCTGCTTTTTATGACATTAACCTGTCCTTAATAAGAGCAATAATTTAGTCTTAAGCCTGACTGGATGGTCCATTCTAGCCTGATCTTGTCAGATCTTGGAAGCTAAGCAGGGTTGGGCCTAGTTAGTATTCTGATGGGAGACCACCAAGGAAACCCTAGGGTCGCTATGCAGAGGAAGGCAATGGCAAACCACCTCTGTTTGTCTTGCCTTGAAAACTGTCCAGGGTCATCTGCAACTTGATGGCACTTTACCCACACACATTCAGTCCTGACCACTTTTCACAGCAAAGAAAAGGAAAACTGATATACAAATTCCAAAGTGCATGGACACAGGTACTTTCCAAGAAACTTGTATTGCCAGGCTTTAGAATGAGAAGAGGTAAAGGATGACAAATGATTCACCAGCTCCCCAGCACTAGCTGAGCTAAAAACTGCTGCCGCCACAACCACTCTCCTCTTCCATTTCTTCCAGCCTGCCTGTGTTTTTTCTCCCCTACTGAGTGCAGCAGTTCACAACCTGAGCAGAATATAACTGCTGTAATCTTAAAACTGGCAGTGAGCAGTGGAAGACCCTGTGCGGCTCCACCCTGCAGCCGAGTGGGGCTTCCTGTGTTAATGAGCTCACACACACAGCTTAGAGGGAACACTGGGACTCGGGACACGGAGGTACACAACGGCAAACCACCTCTGAACATCTCTTGCCTTGAAAACCCTACAGGTTTGCCATTAGGTCAGCTGTAACTTGACAGCAACAACAAATAACACCCCCGCCCCCGGCAGTAATACTTCAGAAGGGAATGTGTAAAACCAAGTCACACCACCCAAGACCAGTTATCAATTTATCAGAAGAAGAAGACGACGACGAGGAGATTGGATTTATACCCTGCTCTTCACTACCCAAAGGTGTCTCAGAGCGGCTTACAAACTCCTTTCCTTCCCCCTCCCCACAACAAACACCCTGTGAGGTAGTTGGGGCTGAGAGAGCTCTTGACAGAAACTGCTCTTTTTCAAGAACAGCTCTTATCAGAGCTATGGCTTGCCCAAGGTCATCCAGCTAGGTGCAAGTGGAGGAGTGGGGAATCAAACCCGGTTCTCCCAGATTAGAGTCCGTACACTTAATCACTACACCAAACTGGCTCAGTTGTTCATCTTTCAACACATTTCACGAAGAGTAATCAAAGACATTCCCTTAACAGGACTTTGTTCTACAGCTTTATGAACTTTTATGGCAATACCATGTTATGTATTTTCAGTGTCTAGAAAATTCTGCAATTAAAATCTTACACTACTATTGAAATTCAAATAAGCAGCCAGATCGTATCTACAGAATAATAATTATTTGCTTGTTCTAATCGAAAATATTTCTGACCCAATACCATACAGCCTGCCTGCTTAGCAAATGGAACTAAAGGGAATAATAAACAAAAGGAATCATTGATGTTGAGCCTCTGTCACTTGTATCTGAAGAGGGCCTGCTTTTTGCAAAGCAACTGTAACTATTTAAATAAAAGAAAGTTATTTCTTTATAATAAAAATAATGGACTGTATCAAAACAAAACAAAAACCAGATACAATGTCATCCACACACTATGAATCTATGAGAAGCCACCTGCTGATTCAGAAAGGTTATTCTTAACTGTCTGGTCTCAGAAGGATTATCAGCATTTGTTTTAAATTTAGGCCAATGCCTTTAAACACGAAGAGAGTCTGGCATGCAGTCAGCTCTTTTCCAACCCATGTGTGATTAACCAGCAACACTTAGTGGTATAGACAATTGTCAAAACCTGACATTTATGCAAAACCTCCTCCATGCTCAATGTTATTACTGGGAAAACATGTATTACTTAATTCTAACACTCTTGGAAATGAAAACTTGCAACAAGGATACTGCTTTACAAGAACTGATTGCATGATCAAATTATTCTACTTCTGATGCTCCAATAAAGATCACAGCCACTAGACCAGAGGACTCCTTCAATGTAAAGATGCTTAAGTATCTAGATATGTAAAAATTAGGCTGTGTTTTAGAACTGAGAAACTAATGTCAACAGACAAATATGCCAATAAATCTATTCAGGTAACATGTGATGTCAGTGACTTGGTTTAAATAACTGAGACTGTTAGTAACTGTCAGACAAATGTGGAGACAAAAGCCAAAACCAAGATAATTTCTGGAAAGCAGCAGTATGACTTTCTTATATTGGCTGGATTTACTAGGCTGGTTAAGCAAGCACAAGTAGGTATTTTAATGGTGCTGTATATGTTACTGTACTTCACAGCCCCATATACAAATCATGAGATATCTGTGTAAAAATCATGTGTCATGTGTTACATTATGGAAATTTTCTAGTATTTCCTTCTAGTATTTAGCAACTGACAAGATTAAACAAAAGAACTACAGAACTAAAAAAAAAAGATATCCAGCAAGGCTGCTCTGCAGCTTTGTTTTTACTTCTGTTTGTACACAGTGGAGGTCAGCTTTTAGACAACATCAGAAGACAGAGCCACAGGCTGACAAAATGGGTGGTCAATTCGGCTTTCAGCTTTTCCCTTTATGAGACCACACAGAGAGGAACAAGTTTCCTCAGTTTACTAGTAAAAAAATGAACCAAAATGCTGACGAGGTTAGTAGAATAATGTGAAATAATAAATACATAGATAACTAGGCTTGTGCCAGGCACAACAATGAAAGATGTATGGGGCACTGTACCGGATTAGATTGTGCAACACCCCCCCCCCGGTGCATGTATAGTACTTAAAAGGTAAAGGTTCCCTTGCTCGAAAGCCAGTCAAATCTGACACTAGGGTTGCGGTGCTCATCTCCGTTTCAAAGCCGAAGAGCCAGCGCTGTCCGAAGACGTTTCCGTGGTCATGTGGCCGGCATGACTAAACACCAAGGCGCACGGAATGCTGTTACCTTCCCTCTGAAGTGGTACCTATTTATCTACTTGCAATTTCTTGCTTTCGAACTGCTAGGTTGGCAGGAGCTGGAACTAGAGACGGGAGCTCACTCTGTCATGCGGCACACTCGGGTCTTGAAATGCTGAACTACCGACCTTCCACAGCCTGCAGTTCAGCGTCTTAACCACTTGAGCCACCGCAGCTCAAGTACTTACTTGAAAGTAAATCCCACTCCCTGGTAAGTATGCCATCTCCCACCATACTTGCTGTTTTGCTTAACAACCTACTGAATAAGAATTTTGAAGAATTCACAAACATGCTCACTGTGGGATTTTTGTTGTTGTTCGACTAACAGCGCAGGTTGCTACTGATCGTGTACAATAAAAACATTTTGGCCGCGGCACGCTGTATTGTGCAAGGAGCAAAGGGGGGGGGGGGGGCTCAACACTTTCCTAACACCCTGCCAGGTTCTTGGAGGCGAACAGCATACAAACTAAAGAGTAAGGGACTCTTTTTCTAAGCTCCTCATTTCTCAAAAAAAACAACAACCCTGCACGGAACAAGAAAACGCACGACACGTTCGTGCTTCCTAAACTCAACCTTCCTCTTCTACACCATCTTCAACACGCGGGCAGGACCAATTCTTTGAGTGCAGACCATCCGATCACAACGAACTCAAAGCAACCAGAAACCGCCTCTTTCGCTAAGCGGCAGCGGGTCGTATCCAGTGGGTAGGGCAGCCGCAGTTCCCCCAGCGCTCCCCAACACCTCCACCTCCTCCTCCATCCGAGGGACTTCACGGCCAGCGCTCTAGAGCTTTGGGAGGGAGGGGAAAGGAAGGAGGCGCAGCTCCCACCGCCACAACTGCGAGAGAGCAAGGCAGAAGCCCCCACCCCCCTCACCCGCGCCCTTTGGAAAGGGAGCGCAGCACTGTCGCGCAGACCCCTGCTTAGGGCCGGAGAGACCCTCCCTGGTGACCTTGGGCCCACCCACTCTCCCACCCAACCTCACCTCCCTCACAAGGTTGTTGTGGGGAATGAGGATGGATTAGGGAGGGGGAAAGCCTTAGGACACTCCCTGGGAGAAAGGAGGGGCAGAAACGTGACAGCACCCCCGGGGGGGGGGAATAACGGCTACCTTTTGAGGAGCCCCACGTTCCTCGACGGCGCGGGGCAGCGACACCACTCCCGGACCACCACCACCACCCTTCCCTCTTGAACGCGCCTTCCTTCCACTGACCCTCAAAGAAGCAAAGCGTGCTATCGTTGTTTGTCCCCGCCCCCTCAGAGAGGGCCTATGCCGTACGCATGCGCCCTTTGGGAGCGTGGCTGTACTCCTGGGACTTGTAGTCCTTTTAGCTTCCCAACCATCTTACGGTTTTTGTCATGTCTTTGACGGAGGAATCTATACCCGGAGCCCGCCTACTTCCCTTGATCTTTTGGCGGCGGATGCGATGCCCCGGAAGGAGAAAGGCGTATTGTCTTGCCTCACTTCCGGAGGAAAACTGAATTCTGGTGGGTAAGGAAGGTGACTGCGCAACGGGGCGTTGGGGAAGCCTGGCAACAGGGGGCCGGGGGGGATTGGTAGTCGACGTCGATTTAGGCGCGTTTACACCCGCACTGAGACGAGCCTAGTAATAATTCAGCATAGAATAAATTCGGGCCGCATGCGGGTACCTTCCTCCTGCTTTTTCTCCGTGAGGCCTTCAGGGTTTGTACGTGGGGGTGGCTACTAAGGCGACGGCCTGGCGCGTGTGCGGTGTCGAGGCGCATACTCCTTTCTCGGCTAGAGAGTGGCGTGAATAGGAGTATGCTGAGCATCTCTTCTTTTAGACAAAGTATAGCTTTATTCAAACGAGCATCGTGCACAATACAGGGAAATTTGATTTATTTATTGAGTCCTGAGAAGCAGGACTCAAAGGACTCGCACCAATAGAAACTGCTGAAATCTTAGTTTACAAAAATGTAATAGGAATAAAAACAAAAGAGTAAGCTATTACCTGTCATAGTAACTGATCTCCACTCAGGAAAATGAGGCCCACCAGAACTCTTTTGTAGCAACTTGGTTACATCCAGCCTCTATAGTGTTATAAGTAAAATGTACATATAAGCAAGTGATAGAAGTATATAAGTGAAATATGTTCTAGAGCTAATCTAGAGTTTGGTGCCCTGGGTCTATAATAAAAATGTAGTAGGCTTATGAATATTACTAAAAATAGTGCTTATATTTCAAACAGTTATCGAGTTACCATCAGTGTCATCGTTATCAGAGCAGCAGTCTTCCAAGTCCATTGAAGCCAGTGGACTTCACAGGGTGGCACTATGTGTTATGAAAATGCATGAAGCTGTGTTAGAGTGCCTGTCTGACTAGCTCAGTATTGTGTACTCTAACAGTGGCTCTGAAGGTTCTCTGGCAAAGAAAATTCTTCCCCACCAGTTGCTGCTTAATTCTCTATAGTTGGAACTGGCAAGGATTAAAACTGGTGGGTGCTTAACCTCTGAGCTCCGCATCTAAAGAGAATGATGAGTTTTTCTTCTGTACACTCCTGTTGTAATTAAACTTAGTGTAAAGCCAGTTAGGTTTTTTTTTTGAAAACCCAGAGCCAGTTCTCAAATGCTTTTAGCGGAAAGGCAAAAGAATACTTATTTCAGTGGGGGCTTGAGAGAAAGTGGATGTTTTGGATTGCTGAGATGGCTTTAACGTTATTGACAAGATAGATGGTGCCTCAAGTGGATTTTAACATTAAAATTTGAAATGTTTTGATATTTTAGATTTTTATTTTTGGGCAGCACTCTAGATCTCCCTTACAGAAGGAAACACAACCTCAAAGTGTAGCTCATAACACAAATATGGTATCTAGTATGACTGAAAATTGAGCCTTTAGGTCTTACTTTACTAATAGTTATTAGAACAAATAACATGTGTTCTGTTTTCAGACATTTAAAAGAGGATATAATCTGTTGCTCACATGGCTGAGGTACCAGAGATTGGAAAAAAGAGAAGAAGGAGAGTTGAAGAAGCAGATAGTGCAACTCCTGAAGATCCGAAAGTGGAACCCTCGGTCAATAATGATAAAACAACTGTAGGTCAAATAATCTGTGATACAGATGGAAAAGGAGATGCAAATGCCTCTGAAGAAACTGAATTCAAAAAAATAAAATTGGAACAGGAATCTGAAGAGAAGAAAACTGTGAGTGTTTCTGGCAGCAATTAAAAAAATATATTCAAAGATAACATTAGTCAGTAACAAAACATCAACCAGTAACAGAACATCCACAAAACATCAACAACAGGACTGAGATACATATACAAGGCAGACCTCAATATTACCTTATACAGAACTTAATTGTTACATTAACTCAATAAATTTAAAGTAATGATGATTGCTAAAGGAATATGGGGAATCTACATTCTTTAAAAGTTTCTCCAATACTGGATACCACTTATTCAGGAAGTTTGACTCTAACATAGGGTACTCATTTGCCCTCTTAACATCTCCTTTTATCAAAAATTATATCATCCCACAGACACATATACCACTCCTTTACCCCAGGTAGCTGGGAGGCCTTCTAATGAGAGACAATTACTTTTTTAGTTACCAACAATAGTGTTACAATTTTTTTTATATGCCGAGAATGTCTAAATCAGGCCAGATATTCAACAGCATTGAGTGTTATATGCCGGGAATGTCTAAATCAGGCCAGATATTCAACAGCATTGAGTGTATCGTAAAAGGAATCGTATGTCCATTTCTGGCAGCAAATTGGAAGCTTGTTACTTCAGACCACATAGTATGCTTGGCAGAAAGTGTATGCATCAGTTTGTGTGTATTTGTAGAAGTGTACAGTAATACATAAAAGTAACTGCCAAAGGACAGCTTGTGTTCTCATGATGCAAATTATTCCAGTTGCTGCTTCTTTTAATTTTAGCTTGCTGAAACCTATCTTGCAGCATGAGTTATCACCTTGGTATATAGTAGGTGCAGAATGTAGCACAGCATCCAAGAATCTGGATGTAAGATCTGTGAGCTTGGTCCTATCTTATATGTATGTTGTATGACTGTCAAATGGCTATAAATAAGGTGATGGCATCTTAGTCTCTAAATTCAGACCTGTTTTTAGAGTGCTTCCCTAAGAATGGGGGCAGTAATGAAGGTGGACCCATCTCTACAGACTCCTTTTCAGAGGGAAGTTGAAATACATTTATTTGTGCGTTCATGCATAGGAGATGAATACCAGTAGTATCTTTCATGCCCTTCTAATTATTTTGAAGCAAATTGCAATGAATGAATCCATTGATTAGAAATGGATTTGGAAACGTAGATGACATTAAATTCAAGAAAGGAATGGCAGGTTTCTTAGATGGAGTTACTCATCCTGACAGGGTGGTGGAAATCAGAGTGTGATAAGGTTTGTTTTAACCAATGCTTTATATGTAAAGTAAGCTATGCATTTTTAGTGCACAATACAGCATACTAAGATTTTTGTACCTTGATCCTTTTAGCAAGTGAGTAGTAGCTTTAAAAGGCTGTGACTCAGCTTATCATCATACGTTCTTAACTGACCTAAGGGATTTAAACTTTCTTAATTCAAACCAGATACTTTTCCCACAGGTTAATGTGCTTGACACATCCAGTATTGCTGTGCCAGAGGATGGAGAGAATCCCCCAGAAGAGGCAAATAGAGCTGTTCCTCAAGATTCAAAGACAGAGTCCATTGTTACAGTGGAGGATGATACATCAAAATTAGGTAAAGAACATTGTGACACAACTGAAAAGGGAGACGTTGGTGATCCTGAGAACACAAGATCCGAAAAAAGAAAGAAGGTACCTGATTCTGAACACATCCCTGCAGATAAAACAGTGAGTTCTTCAAGAGCAGTTTGGTTTTATTTATTCAGATGTACTAAGACACTACCAAAAATGTAGCTTTGGAAGTGATGAGGCTTGCATAAGAATATTTACATAATTTCACTGGATGATAAAGGCAGCGTCCAGTAGTATGGTTCTGGTCTGTTCCTAAAGGCTTTCCTTAATCAGTTGATTACAAGTAAGTCCCCTACACATTATATTTACTTCCAGGCTTCTAGAACACCATAGTTTATCACAATACCCAGGTTGGATGAAAAGTTCACCGTGTGTTAAACCACTTACTGCAATACTAGTTTATATTTCTTCTTCCTGGAACCTCTCAAAAAGATAAAGGCTCTGGATCTCAGGAGCTCTGTAACAACTGAAAGATAAATTCTTCAAAAGTGGAAAACAATAACTTATAATAGATGCTGAAATAAGGGCTGAAGCAATATTAGAACTTGCAGTCAAAGAAAAAGTTGCCTTTAATAGACAAGAAACAAATGTAAAGTATCATGGATTACTTTGGACGTTAACATGTGCGTATATTAGATTGTGTTCAGTATGGGATTAGCTGTTTGCTTTGAGGCTAAGCACTATTTTTTGGGGACTTTCTCTAACTTGCTGTGAGAGAGTCATTTTTTTATCTTGCTTAATACTATATAATGGAGTGTACGCTTATTTAAATAGATCTGGTGAAGCCAGCAGCCAAGTGTGGAGGCAGGGTGGGGTCTCCCCGAGGTTTGGTAGGTCCCTTGCTGGCAGCAGTACACATCAGTGTTAGGGTTGTTAAGTAAAAACTTGTGTGTTGGATTATTTTTTTAAAAAGTAATAAATAATTTTTTTGAAAAAATTAGATGGGCACGAAAACTTGATAAGCACCTTAAAGCTTCTAATCATGAAGGGCAGTTGCTTAAACCAGCTGGTGGGCACGGGGAAGGCAGTGCCTTGGTGCTGGCCGGCATTCAGCTGAACTCTAGCTGTTATACAGCATGGGGGAGGGATGTTGGTGGGGCTCAGCACCTCCTGGCACAAGTCTGTGCAGAAAACAAGGTGCCAAAATGTTGTTATTGCTACTGTTATTTGCTAAATTAAAAACAAAAAAACATTTCCGTTCTGAGAACCATTTTTTTTTAAAAAAAAAAACTGAGCTAGATGGATCAATAATCTGAAGTACCTTTTATGTTCATATGATTTCTGCGTATCAAATATCTTTGAAAGACATGACAACTGTAATGTAAAAATGATAACAGACAAAAAGACATTCTCTAAAATGACCACTAAGACCCCACCCCCTGCACCAAAGTTATTGGCTACAAAGTCTTTTGCCTACTTGCCAGAATTCCAAAACAAGCATACTGATTTTTTAATCTGATTTGGATGCCACAAAAACCTATGATTTGTTGGGGGTCATAATGTCTTAAGTAACAAAGAACTGCAAAAGTCTTAAGGGCTTCCAAGGTTTCTGTAACAACAAGCCATGGATTACTTGTGTGTAAATAACTGTCATTATAGTTAGGATTACTGTGATAGAACACAGTGACTGCCCAAGGAGTGGGAATGCCTCTGAGTTAGTTCTACACACACACACACACAGAGGAAAGGATTATACCTTACAGATATGTCTGTTTTTAAGCAATTTAAATAATTCATCTATGAGGCCAAGATCCATTTTTTAAAAATCTGTTTCTTGTGAGTTGAATTAGGAATGCAGGAAACGCTATGAGGAAGGATTCTACAAATAGAAATTACACATGTTGAGTGGACGTGTGGGAATAGAAATCATCAGTCCACCTTTTTGATCTTTGGATGTGATGTACCTTAAGTAACAGTTGCTTTCCATTAACATTTCATATTTTGCACTTATTATTTCATGTTCTTTTATAGCATACAGAAGCTGTAGCAGCACATTATAATAAGCTTGAGGAAGTTGGATTGGAACAACGGAGTTTGAGTCGCATTTTCTATCTTCGAAATTTTAACAACTGGATAAAGAGTGTTCTTATTGGTAGGACTATGTTTTCCAAATAATGTTATAGTGTCCAGGTGTTAATCCCTTTGGAAGGAAGGAAAACCTAAAATGGTGGTGACATAGAGTAGGGCCCAGTATGGGCCAAATTTGACTTCTGCATTTCAGACGTACATACAGTTAACTTCCAAAACTATGTAATTACTCCAGATTATTGTTGTGTAGAATGAAGAGAATAAACAGCATGGATGGCTTAGGGGAATTTAGAGGTGAATGTAAAAATGCAGTTGGAGAAGTCTGAACTAAATAATTTAATGGACCTTTTCTTCAAGAGATAGCATTGCTATATACCAGGGATCCCACCCTTTTTGAGACTGTGGGCACTTCTGGAATTCTGATACAGCATGCTGGGCACAACAACAAAATGGCTGCCATAGGAGGCAGAGTAAACCACAAAATTGCTGCTGCAGCTTATCTTCAGTCACATACTTAAGATCCTTGTGTTGTGGTGGTAGCTGCTTCCAAAGCAACATTCTTAAAACTGTGCATAGACAATCAATTCTCCAATAGTTACTGCCCTGACCTGGATAGCCCAGGCAAGCCCAATCGCATCAGATGATTTTGGAAGCTAAGCCGGGCCAACCCTGGCAAGTATTTGGATGGGGGACCTCCAAAGAATACCAGGGCTGGGAGGCAGAGGCAGGCTATGAAGCCACTTTTCTGAATGTCCTCTGTGCCCCAGTAGGAGTCGCTGTGACTTCCAGGCTCGGGCACACACATACAAACATAGAAATACACCCCACCCCCCTTCCAATAGCTACTCAGAAACCTTGCTGGGCAAAAGCTCCACCTGGCTTCACCCAATATCTAAAAACATTTGGTGGGCACCAGGAAAGGTGTTGACAGGTACCATCATGTCCATGGGCCTGTTGAGGACCCCTGCTATGTACTATTACAAATTCTCTTTAGGTATTACCAGAATCAATCTTTTAAAAAGCCTGAGGATTCAGTGATAAGAATAGTTCACCCCAGATTTAGAATTTGTGCTAGTAAAAAAAAAAATTGCATTGTAAGCTGTGCTTTTTTAGGGCCGAGTATGATGAAATGCAAATAGAATGTGTTTTCTCACGGCTCTTCTTCCCAGCAACCTCCTGAGATCTCTGGAAAAACTGATGATGGAGTGGTTGAGGGAACTGTGTAAAATTGTCCCCACTTTAGTCTTGTACCAAAGAAATTACTGCTGGCGAAGAAGATGAGAGCAAGAAGATGCCATGCCCCACTTCCTTGACTGGGGGACCTTCACCTGTAGCTGTCACCCTGGGATCTCGTGGTTCTCCAGGAGCTCCTGTTCGCACTTTGTAGTGCAAGATGTAGATTAGAGCAGTTAGAGAGGATGTTCTCTCTCTCTCCCACCCCCCTGTTTGTCCTTGGCTACCAGTCTTCTCCTCCACAGCCCCCTTGCTAGTCCCTTTTTATACCCCTCCTGCGGCTCTGAGCCCACCTCTTTGCCTGCCCCTGTCCTTCCCCCAACAGGCAACCCCCCCCCCCCAAACTTAAGCCCAGACCCTCAGTCAGGTTCCTGGGCAGGGCCACGGTCCTGGAGCCTGCCACTGCAGGCGTCTCTGGGGCTGGCCAGCTCAGATGGTGATCATATTTGCCACCTTCACTGAGAGTGGCGTCGCTGCTCCCCGCATCTTCCTTTGCTCTCCTCCCGGCCATCCTGTTGAATTCCTAGCCTGCCACCAACCCCGCGCTGCTCCCTCCACGGACCTGGGGCCTGGCCCAGCCAAATGGGCTGCTGTTGATTCCTCTGGGTGGCTTCCTGCCCTTGCCTCTGCCATGGTCTCCTGCTGGGGCTGGTGAGGCCACACTGGGATCCCTTCAGGTAAGGGGGGAGTTGCCAGCAGGTGGGGACAGTGGTCGATGGGGGTGCCACGGGCTGTCGAGGGAGGGGGTTGGACCAAGTCCTGGCCAGTCCTTGCCAGGACAAGCAATTTTACTTGGTTTCACCTCCTTATTTATAGCACCTTGGAATTTTAGTTTTATGTTGACACAGATCCCTCAACCTCCAGCATTAGTTTTCCATAGCTCTCAGGGGAAGGAGAAGGCAAGAAAGATCAGTATCTACAAATCTTATTGTGCTCATGGTTCATGGGCTCCAACTTAATATCTCTTTGTTTAAAAAATAAATGTATAAGAAAGTTAATTTTTCTTCATATATGTTTTATAAAGTACGATACACTTGAATGCCTGTTGCAAAATCAATTTAGTTATCTTCCAAAGTAATATGCAGAAAAATTCATCCCTACTGATTCTGTGCATCTTTTTCTCCCTTCTTTGAGCATGTTGATACTTTGGTTTCTCTTCAGATCATATAAATCTTTTGCATTTTACAATATTGTTTTAAGCTTCACTGAGATTCTAAAATTTCTAGATTGTAGTGAAAGGGAAGACTTCTTATATGGACTGTGTCTTCTCAGGTGACTTTCTTGACAGGGTACGGCAGAGAAAGCAAAACATTTCTGTTCTAGACCTGGGATGTGGTAAGGGTGGAGATCTACTGAAATGGAGAAAAGGAAGAATCAGTAAGCTTGTATGTACAGGTAAGAAGGTGAATTTCTTGGCAGAGAAAAAATTTCTGTAATACAGGTGCATTTGTCATTTGGCTTCTGTGATACTCTATTCTAATTGTGTAGATAGTAGAGTACTGCTTTTTATTTTTTAGTTTGCATAATATTGGTTAAAAAGTCCCAAATGTTTTTACCATTTACTTTAGAGCTAGAGTTTTGCTCACTTCATACTGGGGGGGGGGGGAAGCAAAATTTTTCAAATCTCTATTGGACGAGGCAGTCTTATGACTGTGGATTTCTCGTGCAGGGATATGGCACACAAAACATTTATTTGTATCCCACTCTTCTCCCCCATGGGGACCCAAAGAGGCTTTCGTTATCACTCTCAAGAGTCAGCCATTCCTTCCCTTTCTGAAACACAGAGGCCAGGTTCTAGTCCTTTTAGGGGCCAAGCAGAATGCCCCCCCCCACTTGGTGTGCCTCTGTTTGCAAGACAGAAAGCATAGCTTTTATTACTAATATACAACCACACGCCCTGTTAAACTTCCAGCTCTATTCCCTGGCCCAAAGATTTAATTTTTGTAGGTGCCTGTGTAAATATATCTCTCAAAATAGGTTTACGTGGTTTTTTAATATGCTGTTATGCCTTGTGTGGCACTTTGTCCCTCAGTTTAGAGCCTAGTTCCAGTTTCTCTGCCCTGTTACTCACTCCAGTGTTGCCTCCATTCTTCACTTGCCAACCCTCGCTCCAAATTCTGAAAATATTTGTGTATGTACCTGTGAATTATGTAATTTCAGTCATTTTTTGACTTTTTAGTCTGAGTTTAAGATTGTAAGTTAGTGAGAAGCTTGTTCATGATTCACATAGGCATCTATATAATGTTATTTCTTTGGCTCAGAGCATCTGACAGGATTGATTTATGCCGTATGAAGATTAGATTATGAGATGAGAGAAACTTCTAGAGATACCAGTTTATAGAGGACCAGAACACTGGAGTATGCCACAAGCTAGCCTCGTGGCAGTGTACAAAGTTTTTATATGGCCCAGCTATAGCAGGACCTAGATACCCATCTCAGTGGAAGGGCTTATTGTATGCTATAAGTAGCAAGTATCACCTGTGTTGTCATGAAAAGAGTCTTAAATAGCTGTTAAATTAAACAGTTGTTGCTGATTGACTTGGCATTCCAATTCTAACATCCAAGGCAGTTAGGTAATACCATAATAACCATAAGAAGGCCTGTTAAATACCTTAAGGCTCACTTTGGATCTGACGTCAGTCAGCCACTAGCATAGAGCAGATTAGCTTCAGCCCATTGGGACAGACATTTCTAGCCAAGGTTCTGGGTACAGAATTGGTTACACAAATCTGAAGTATGAGAGCCAGTGTCGTATAGTGGGTAAAGTGTTGGACTAGCATCTTGGAGACCCGGGTTTGAATCCCCACTCTGCCATGGAAGCTTGCTGGGTGACCCTGGGCGAGTCAAACACTCTCAGCCTAACCTACCTCACAGGGTTGTTGTGGGGATAAAACAGATGACAGGAGAATTATGTAAGTTACTTTGGGTCCCCACTGGGGAGAAAGGTGTAAATAAAAAAGGAAATAAAAAAGGAAAGTGCATGAGAACAAAGATGTGTGTAATCTTCAGTAGTAAAAATGTATATACTTTCATTTGAAGAGAGATTATACATTTTTGTTGGGTAAGAATTTAGTTGTGATATATTTAATTTAGGATGCACTGATCAAAATAAACTTATTGAATTGCTTCAAGAGCTTTAAATGTTATTTTTATATTTTTAGTGGTCAGAATTTGTATTAGAAGGTGGATTACAGCAGAGGTAATACACTAAATCCGAATGTTTATTTTACTAAACTATGTGGCCCAGCATCTGACTGTATAGACTGTGACTGGCACATTCAAGAGACAGCTCAGTTTGAGTGGATATTTTAAATAGCTGCTCAGTGTTTTTAGCCTCCAGTCTTTGGCACGATTGCTTTCTGATAACTTTCAAAGAGAAGTTTTAAGTATACTGTTTATTTTTTAAAACAGATATTGCTGATATTTCTGTACAACAGTGCAAACAGCGATACATGGATATGAGAAATCGTGGTCGTTCAAATGACAGAATTTTCAGTGCGGAATTCATAACTGCTGACAGCACCAAGGTACCATCATCTGTTTCGCCTTAATCACAATTTCACCATGATATGTAATTGGCAAAAAAAAATCCCAACTGTCAAATTTCCTTCAGTATGTCTCTGAAATATTTTGGAGGTTAACTTTGCAAAACATTTGTATGGTGCCAGTGAGTGGTGTGTGAGGCAGAAAACAATAGTGAAAGGTCCGAATGAATGCCCTTATATCCATGAATGAGATGTTCCCCATTGCCCCCTTGTTACTTTTGACAGAAGTCTAAGACTGGGTTTTTTTGTATTTTTACAGGAGCTTCTGTCTAAGAAGTACAATGATCGGAATATGTGCTTTGATATCTGCAGCTGTCAGTTTGTGTACCATTATTCATTTGAGACATATGAACAAGCTGACATGATGCTTAAGAATGCATGTGAAAGACTTTGCCGTGGAGGATATTTCATTGGCACAACTCCAGATAGCTATGAACTTGTGTAAGTGTGTGTTGTGGAGGATTATGTGAGAACTATAGATGGAAATTATGGATTTCTGTTTTCAGTCTTCCAAGAATACCACTTCCTTATTAAGATTTATTGAAAGCTTCTTGGGAGAAATATTTCTGCTGTACCAATACATTAGAGAAAAATATACTGGAAAAGTGTTAGGTGTCCTGCCTGTTACTTCTAGCTTGTAGTTCTTAACTGTTACCATGTGAGGATAATACACAGGCAACTATCAGCTTTCTCTGTAATATCCTCCAGAATGAGAAAACTCCAGAGTTTTCTGCATCTGCATCTAGGGAAGTAAGAACTGTAGTGGGATTGTCCCATTGTTTAAGTGTGACAAGGCAGGTAACCAAAAAGGTTGGAACAATGAAAAAGACAGTAAAATATAACTATGTACATAGTGCAAATGTACAAAATATCATATATATAATGTAATAATACATTCAGAAGTGCTAAAATACCATTTAGAAACAGCAGTCCCTTTGTTCAGCATATAAGTACCCAATCGCAATATAAAGACAAATGTCCATTTACATAAATACAGGTTTAAAAGTACTTATTGTCTCCATATGCAAGACCTATACCAAATGAGTTTCGGCACCTGGCCTTCCTCAGTGGTATAATTCAAACTGAGCACTCCATTAATTTAACAAAAGCATACATAAAACTGATCATACACAGAACAGACACTAAGATGTTCACCTGTGGAGTAAGTGGTGTGTTAGCATTGGTGGGTTTTCTGAAAACATCAGTATGTAATTCAATACCTTCCCTTTTAATCAGAACATCTATAAAAAGTTAATCCAAGACTAGTCATACACTGGTTCAGATGTAATACTGTGATGTATAGAATTAATATACTGCCCAAACTGGATAAGGAGCTCCTCTGAACCTTTCCAAATGATGAAAATATCATCCAAGGGCCTTTTTATATAGGATGATGCTGTCCCTATAGATATTATTATCTATCTAGAGGATGATAATGAATTAGCAAAGAGCCTTGGTTTTGTGCATGTTTTAGTCATGTGTGTTTATGTTCTCCCACAGAAAACGTTGTGAAGCTTCTCAAACTGATTCATTTGGGAATGAGGTATACACAGTAAAGTTTCAGAATAAGGGAGAATATCCCTTGTTCGGCTGCAAGTATGATTTTAATCTTGAAGGAGTGGTTAATGTCCCAGAGTTTCTCGTCTATTTCCCATTGCTAGTAGAGTAAGTTTTTACCTACTTTTGTTCTTTGAACTGGTTGCTAGGTATGCTTTCTGGATTTTTTTAGATCCATGAGATGGGCTCTGTGGAGCTTGGTCAGTCTTAACCCTTTTATTTGGAGACTTGATCCCCCTTTCTGGCTGGCTTCCTTTTCCCCAGCATCCTTTGCTTATAATATTGTATGTCTTATCTATTTCTTGCCATCTGAGCCAGTAAAAAATATGCACACAGCTCATGTACTTATGGGGTTGTTAACATACGTGTTATTCATTGCACCAGTGTGGTGTAGTCAAGTCATTAAGAATGTCAGACTAGTATCTGGGAAACCTGGGTTTGAGTCTCCATTCGTGCTGTAGAAGCTCACTGGGTGACCTTGGGCCAGTTACACACTTCAAGCCTAACCTACTTCACAGTGTTGTGGGGAAGATAAAATGGAGGGAAGGAGTTGATTTTGAGTCCACATTGGGGAGAAAGGTGGGGTACAAATGAATATAAATAAAATAATATAATTTTGAGGAGGACCTTATATTGAGATTATATGTGAGATGCAAGTGAAACCATAGCTGTAACTTTCCATTGGTCCATAGGGTCTCATCTGTGATACATTGCTGCCTTTTGTAAACTGGGTGATGCTTTGAAAGTAATACTTTATGGCTGTGTGCTAAGTATTAGTAATTTTATTTAAAATTTTTGTTCTTGCTAGAATGGCAAAGAAATATGGCATGAAACTAGTCTACAAAAAAACTTTTTGGGAATTCTATGAAGAAAAGGTTAAGAACGAAGACCATAAACTACTTTTGAAACAAATGCAGGCATTGGAGGTTTGTATTAAAAGGATACCTATAGATCTGCTCTAATTGGCAACCTCATCAGGTATTCAGTTGCTCTTTTTTAATAATAGCATACGGAAGCAAGAATTCAATGAGAAATCATAGGAGTGGCAGTAGGGAGATAGGATATGGAAATCCAACCTGCTCAACTGATCTGTCTAGATTTTCTAAAATTTAAGGGTTTTTCTCCTCTCCCTTCTTTTTCCTTTAATTGACATTCAGATGCTCTCTATGTTGTATAATCCTAGAACATATCAGACATCATTAGGTTGTGTGTGTAATGTCTTTGGGAAGATATTGTCATACATTTCTGTGGAAGCTTTTACATTTATTTATTTAGCATATTCTGCCTTTCTTCCCTGGGGGAACTAAAATGGCCTACAATACACAGAGAAAAAACTCCCAACCCAAATAAGAAAGTGAGCTGAGGCTTCCGATAGTCAAGCAGGTCTTTTTTCTCAGTGACTGATTTTCCACCCAGTTGTAGTCCTGACCCCCACTTTAAGAGCTGAAGGATAAGAGCCCTTTGGCTTATGCCTCTGGGCATACCTAAGACTTGCTAACAAAAAGGAAGGGAAGGGGGAAGGGGGGAAAAAGGGGGGGGGGAGAAAACTCAACCCAAAAAGTTGCTATGGATCCACAAGGGTTAAGCTGACTCAAAATATTATAAAAATGCAAAATTTATTCAGGTATACACATTTTAAAACTTAGACTCATTAAAAATGTACCATTCAGACATAAAAAAACTTCTCAACATTCATACATAGATGGGTTAGTGCTGTGCAACTGAACCAAACGCGTTTCGGCCCCTCAAAGGGCCTTCCTCAGTGGTCACAATTCCAATTACAAATTTGACATACATTCAAAAAATTTTTTACATAAGATGTACATATACAGGAGAAGGCCAGATGTTGTTTCCTAAGTATTGATTGCAAACAGAAAAAGAGGGAAAAGGGAAGCAAAGAAAAATTCATTGTAGTTTCCCTTATGTACATTATTGTTAATTGACAAATACTATATACTAAAAATAAAAATTACCTTCTGTATTGTATGTTATTATTCTATAAGATGGGCCTCCAGTTTAGCCAAATAAAGTCCACCAATAATTCTAAATATAAAAAGGAATGAAATAATTTCATAAAGTTATATGTTTCAAAAAGGAATTCATGTTTTATAGTTTTTTTAAAAAAAAACAATTTCTTAGTAGCTTATACCAGAATTTGTATAGGATGGAGTGACATACATTCAACTCACACAAGTTGGTGATACCAGGTTAGTAGGCCAATTTTTTAAGAAATTGTTTTTTTTTAAAAAGTTTTAAAATGTGTACACCTGAATAAATTTTGCATTTTTATAATATTTTGAGTCAGCTTAACCCTTGTGGATCCATACCTAAGACTTAACATACCTGTGTGGGAAAAGAAGACCCTCAGTCAGATGCTTTCAGCTGCTGCTAACTAGCATTCCTCCCCTGCGATATCAGTGGGTGGCCTAAGGAACCCATGATAATGTTGGTGGGGACCAACAAAGAATTTTGAAATACCAGAGCTTCCTCCCCTGCTCCAAGATTCTTGAAACTTTTCGGGGTTTCCTGATACTCCCTTCCCCCCTTCCCGATGTCCCCTTCCCCCCTTAGTTGATTTTCTGTTGGTTCTATAGCATCAATTACTTATAACCGTAGTAGCAAACAATAAATATTTCTAATGAAATCTTGTTTATCTATCTATGGAGTGCTGTTTGGGTACATAACGTAGGTATTATGATTCTTCCCTATGATCCTATACGTGCTTACTTGGAAGTAAGTTTTGCTGAGATTTTTAGGACTAAGTTAAGTAAACCTGTTTTTGATGCAATGTTGTATGTGTATCTGAGGAACAGAAGTGATGTCAGTGAAACAATGTCTTTAATTAAAATAACCAGTAAATAGTATCTGAGGGCCCAGTTTCCTCTTTACAGGGTACAGCAGCATCATGGTAACTGTGGAGAAATGCTGTGTTAATCATTACCTGCCATCTGCTTCCGAGCTGGCATCTGTATATACAACTGAAACACATGTATGTGCATTTTCATAGGAGTAGGCATCCACATCTGTATTTAGTTTGCCAGCCTTTGGTTCAAATGTTTCTATTTGCAGTAATATGTCTAATGTATTTTTAGCAATATCCTGCTGATGAACATTCCAAGCTGGTGTCAGATAAAAAAGATGACTATGTGCATGCGGAAATGCTCAAGAATGATGAAAAACTGAAGCTACCTTTTGTAAGTATTTACTAAATGACCTATCTAGGCCCTGAACTTAAAGCCAGGTTTTAGGTATAGTTTTGCAGTGAAGCAAGCAGTTACTGCAATATCCTGTCTCTCTGACAAGTGAGCAACATATTCTGTTACTGGTTGATGTTTTGTCACTTGATGTTGTTTTTGAATTTTATTTATAAGGGATATATATATATATATAAATAAAAGCCCTATCCACTGGCTGCTTTGCCTGAGTCCTGCCTCCAACATTCGAAACAGTTTGCTCTTCCTCTCCCCCCCCCCCCACAGCCAGTCAGAACACAGAGGTTATTTGCATATGCAGCCTCATTGGCCTTTGCCTTGGAACACAGAGGTCGTTTGCATATACGACTTGATTGGCTTTTGCCTCTAACATTCTAAACAGTTTTGCTGTTCTGAGGTAAAATGTGTCCAATCTCCAGGTGAGGGCTGGAGATCACTCAAAATTACAACTGCTTTCCAGGTGGCAGAGATCAGTTCCCCTGGAGAAAATGGTGGGCTCTGTATCCTTATATGCTGCTGAGGTGGCCCCCATGACAGCCAATATGACGTAGCAGTCAGGGCTTCAGAGCACGGGAGAGGCTGCAGGTGTGTGGGGGGTGGAAGAGTGAGGGGAAAATAAAGGTAGGTTGATTATTGGCTGGGAAGGAAATTATTAGCTTGTTGTGAACAGGCAGGGCAGTAAAAAGCTGTAGGCTAGTCACTTTTGTGGACCTATTTACAAGGCTGGATTCTTAAGTATGGATTTGAAAAGGGGATTATAGATATAAATGTGGAGACTAGCATTATTCTGTATTTTGTCCAATGGTCTGTAGAAGCAGGTGTGCACATTCACATTTGAGATTCAAGTTCATGCTGAATAATTCCCCACTCAGAGGGGGGAAATAGCGTAGTGTTAGGGTGGCAGGTAATTTTAATTATAACAGTTTCTCTACTTTGCTTGCTGTTTCTGTAAAGCTTGTTTGGGCTAAAACATCATTGCTACACCAAGATCTCTGGCATCTCTGAAATATTCATTGCTAAATTTGCATCCAGTCATCACTAAAAATGAGATTTCCTGGCTTGTTTTTAAATCTTTCTGCTTTGAAGAGAATATTAAAGCAGAGATGAGAGTAGTTCATTTCTCTAGTATCTAGAGAAGCTTTAGAGAAAAGACTGTGATAATTACAGCAAAAAAATTGGAATGATAGCAGTAAGTTCATTAGAACCATTTTTCTGTGAATTGCTTAAAATGTTTGTAATGGAAGTATTCTCAGTGTCATAATTATGAGTTTCATATTGCTTTTTTACAGGGAACACTAAGTAAATCTGAATGGGAAGCAACAAGTATGTAGTCTTACCTGTTTGGATATTACCAGAATGGTTTAATAAATGACTGTTGTCTCCAATGCATGTATTTGTAGATCAGCCCAGCAGACATGCTGTTCTGCCCCCACCCCGGTCCTTCAGTAGTTGTACCAAATGTTTTATTAAATATAAGAGTTTCTTTTGATAGCAGAACTCTCAGAAAAGGGTCTGGCAACAGAAATACACAAACCTCTGGAGCACAGCTTTAATAAACTTTGGCACCTCGTACATTGACTAGATTAAAAAATTAGCTACCTGCAAGTTTGAAATTGGTAGCAAATTGTTTGTGAGCACCTAAGAGATGACCAAGCCCTGATGTAACATGCACCAAGGTCACAGAAATTATGACCCATCGGATAGTGTGCCATGAAGGTCCTGTATTAGCATGCCAGAAGCACAGATTGTTGGTGCTCATATGCAGCAGGTGCCTTTTAATGGCAGCCATGCGGGGCGCATGCAGCCATGAATTGTTCTAGTTCAGTACAGTTGTGGCGGACTGTACGTTTTAAAAGCTTAGAAGTGCTGTACAAACAACTGAAGGACTGTGAAGGGTTAATTCTTCACAGAAACAGAGGGCCATTCGTCACAACAGCCTAGCAGCTTCACCGCTGGAAACTGTTTCTGCTTATTGAATGAATTTTATCAGAAAGATTTTTAGGCCCATAGTTGTCAAAACACTGTTAAAAGTGGAGCTTGGAGTACTTCATGAAACCCTAGGTGAGCCTCACTTAATATAAAAAACACATACTTTTTCATTATTATTTCATATGGGCTCACTTGCACAAACAATATCCAGTCTAACAAATGTTTGTGTTGAAAAGGGAATTTTCTATTGTTTTGTGCCTCAGCCTTGACAACAGTCAGTGATTCTTTGCAGTGGTGAACTTCACCCACCAGAGGTGGCACTGGCTATTCTGCTGTTTTTCACCAGTTGCTGCAAGATGAGAGAATATTCACATCACAGATTCCAGAGTATAAATAAAAAGGAGGCTGAAATGAATTATTGAACTATCCCAGAAGTCCTGTAAAGAGGCACTAAAGCTTTAAATTATCCTAAAGATTTTAGATTAGTTTAACGATTTGTTTTGCTAATGTACTATGTGTCATACTTGGAAGCTGTCAACATAACTTCTCTAGTGGAATATATATCCTAAATTCTACTAAGATTGTAATAACACTGGAACTGAAGCAAAACTCATCAGGGCATGCTTCCCCCCCCCCCCCCCAATGATTTGTGAAAACCATGGTTTACTTAAGAATTTTTTGAAATTTGACTAAGCTAACTTGACATTGGGTCGTGATAATAACATTGTTCAACTGCAGATTGTAATTGCATAATCACATGGCATTGGCATATTCCTGATCTGCTATTTTGGGCCATGTGATTTTCAGTGCGTGTATACTCAGGAATAAATACTACTGAGTTCATGGGACTTACTCCCTAGTGAGTGCTGCTTAAATTGTAGCCTTTGTTTCCCCTGTGTCAGTGATGTAGCCATGCCATGCATAAGTGCAACATGATACTTTCACTACAAAATCTTACTGGCTGCATAATATTATTAAAATATATGTATACTGTAACCAAATTTCTCATATTTGGATTTTACGCGTGTGATGGCTTTGGACATATTATTTTAGCAATTAACTACTAATAACCAAGCTATTGCTTTAGCTTCCTAACAGAAAATATTCTCTTAGGTTTGGTCATTTAACATCAGGAATGACAGCAGTTTTATTTTGCTAACATTTTTGAAGGAACAGAAGGCTACTAATGTTTTTCTTTTTTTCCAGGCATATACATGATCTTTGCGTTCGAAAAGCAGCAGTAAAAAAAGACCATGAAGGGAAACACTTGAAGCAGTCTAGCATCCAAAATGACAGCTATTTTATATTTTTATGTTGAAGAGTGTGCAGGACACAACCAAACTGGGCAAGCTCATGTATGAGTTATGGTTGCCTGTCTGTGACAGAAGGAATGTATAAATATGAGAAAGGAGATGGAATTCTTCTGTGGGGTTGGGTTTCTTTTTTTAAAACAAAGTGCATGTTTTTGTAATGCTCAGGATGCTTAAAGGAAAAAAAAAGCTTACCACATAGTTTATGTACTGTGTGACAGGTTTCGTGATATGAAGTGCTGATTGTATATAGCTGTCATCTGTGTGATAAAGCATCTGTTGCCAGGCTACGTCAGCAGCTTAGAAACATAGAGAAATGAGGATTGTGGTAAATTTCATCTAGCTGTGTAGTTGGAAGCTACAATTGATCAGTTCTTTGTAGATATAACACCCCCAAAATAAGTTTGGGGCTACAGAGTTCAAGTGTTAACTTGAAATTGCCCATCATCATTGATTGATTAGCTGTACAGAGTTGTAAACGAAAAATTAGCAAATTTAGAAATCAGCTGCCTGCAGACTCAACAGAAAAATCACTGCACCTGACTGAGAAAGTATGGGCACTTCTGTGCACAGAGCACTCTGTGGGTCAGGTTGTCGCCCCCTTTTGACAAGCTAGTTTAACAATTAAACTGAATGGAATTCTTGCATGCCGTGAACTCTATGTGCATTGGGAAGCCTGACATCATTGCTGAGTTGGGCTCTTTAGCTGAATTCCATAGTGCAGTATTTTCTGAGTGTTAAATAATTGTAATAGTTGTTTTGGGTGGGGTGGGATAGGGGAGAGATGTTGGAAGAAACCTAGTTTGCTGTTTGTGCTCCTTGGTGTGTAATTGCCTTTCATAGCTCGTGTGTCATCACAATTAAATGGATTTTGGTTCCATACAAGTGAAGTGTCTGAGATACTAAAAGATGCCATAAGATCATCCTGAGAAATTAGATTCCCAATAGTATACTTACACAAAGTCTTTCAAAGAATGGGTTAACATTGATTTTTTTTTAAAAAAAACCCTCAACTATTAATGAATTGTTCCCAAGAACAGAGACAGTCTGAGCATGGGAAAGGGAACTGGAAGAAGAAAATAAATAATATTTTTTAAGAGTGCTCTTGAGTGTTGCTCTGTAAGCTATGTGTGTTGGTTGCAGGCTTATTCTCCATCCTCTTTTTTATTTCTCTGCAAGTTAGTTCAATGGGAATCTCTCGACAGTGAGTCTTTTAAGATATTCAGATATTTGAAAGGGAGTAAACTGTTGGTGTGGACTGCATTAGACATGACTGGTTTTGTACATAGGGAAAGTATGTGCCATATTTGCATACATACGGCTTTATTTTGCTTATATACACATGGGAAATCATGATAGTCTATAATGGTGAAATACACGAGAAGAAGAAATGGGATACAGTTCAGTTGCAGTTTTGTAAGAAGTCGGTAAATCTAATTTAGTTTGCCAACTCAGACTGCAAATCAGAATGAAATGTCCCTCTATACAATATTTTCTTGCCCCGTGAAAACTTGCATCAGGGAAAAGGCTTGCCTAGAACCCCCTTCACGTGCCAGCTTTCTAGGTCCACAAAAATTTTAAGAGAAGAATATTTAATTCTTTCAGTTACTACGTGCATTCTGAAGTTGTTCCTAAAAGGCGTGTAGTGGTTGCATCTTTGCATATCTTAATCCCAACAACTGTGCTTAAATGTTGCATTAAGGTATGCAACGACTTTTGAGGCTCTTTTAAAACATCCCCAGTAAGGTGTACATTGTGAGCTTTTAAGCTAGATATTTTAGTCTGCTCGATTAGAAGTGGTCAATTTCTGTAGTCTTGAGGCTAGATGTCTGGAGTACTGTACTACCAAGGGATGCCTTTGAAGAGATTTCTTTGTCAATTTCCAAATGTAGCTGTGGGCAAAGGCCCCTGTAATTACCTCATCAATGCGTATCAGTGGAGCACTCATAAAGAGTAGCAGAAATAGTTCCTGCACTAAAAATCATAAGTCCCCTCAGCTGCTCAGACCACCTGAATGCATGCCCATGCTAATACAGAAGAACTTGTAGACCTGTTTTCATAATAAAATTCCATAGAGATGCATTTGTTATCCGCAATGGTTGAGAGTCAAGCTATAAACAAACAAGCCCCTGGCTTAGTGGACTATTGCAGGCTTAATTTCTTCAGCTTCCTCCTTTTGGAGAAGTGAATTGACATACCCAGCCCACATGCATTTCCTTGACCTCTGCTTCGGTGATAGTATCAGCCCAATTGAGATTTGGATCTCTCTAGCTATCATCCTTGTACTTTCATTTTAGAGTAGCTGATACTGTTGGAACAGCATTCTAAAACAATAGCTGTTTTTTTGGGGGGAAAGCCTCTCAAGATGAGAGCAATAGAGGTTCTACCACTGGGATTGTCTCAAGCAACACCTGGTCTAGGCACAGTCCAGTCTAGGGGCAAACAGTGAAAATAAACAAAGGAAGACTTGTGCTGGTATTTTATTTAGAATGTTTATAGGCTGTCTTTCTACCCAAATGGATCTTCAAACCAGCTAACAAGTAGATTAAAATATAAAGCAGTTTAAATAAACGGTTATAAAACACCTAAGCAATCTGTACTGTGATTCTTCCACCCCTATTCTTGGCTTGCAGAAAGTTTTCTTGGCAATCCACTCCCACCTAATGAAATTAAAGATGGAAGAATTAATCATAAGTGAAAGGAGGGATGGGGGAGTAGAATGTTCACTGCTTTTGTTAGGGGAACTTTTCTTTATTTTCAACATTTTTTATTGAAGTATTAAAAATGCATACAACTGTTAAAGTAAGATAAAACCACTTCAATTTTAACAAAAATTAGCTAGTACTAATAACAACATAATCTATACATCAATCATCAGTTAGGGGAACTTTTCTGTTTCTCCTTGGCTGTTTATGTTGGGGCTGTTTCCTTTCTCTCTATAGTGGAGGACATAGGCTATGGTTTCTTACCAGCTAGGGAGTTGAGGGGAAAGGAAGATGTCTGAGTGAAACTATGCAAAAGAGTTGCTTAGAGCAGGCTGTAAATAGTCAAATTTATAGTTAAAGGATCCCAGTTGGAGGAACAGGACCTCACTTCAAAAGTTCAATGGAAGTGAAATGTTACTTATACCTTACTTTCTTCTGTGTCGTGTAATTTTCCATAAATAAAAGTTAACTTGTTTAATCCTATGGGCTGTGTGTTTAAGGGAAAGAAACACAAACACAATTTATTATCTTGGTCTCTATATGTTCTAGGATATGACTAAGTGGTGGCAATGTGTGACTAGAACAGTGTTTGAGTGTGAATGAGGGCCTGTGTGAGTGAAAAGCACAGAGCTTCCAGGATGTTGTTAATTTTATAGAATTGGAGCAGTTCTGTAGATGGTTACCATCTGAATATTGCTGGCTGGTACAAGGCAAACAGACAGAATGCCTAACAAAAGCTTTAGAAATTATGGACCAGTTAGTGTTAATAAGGGGACAACTGGGGGGGGGGGGTCTCCTCAGAAAAACATCAAAACAGGTACACAACAAAAAGAACTTTGCCTGCCTGACAAACTATACAGGGAGTGGTGGCAAATGGCCAGGGAAACACCTCAGGGCAGAGAGTATGGCACATGGTGGAAATATCAGTGTGGTAAAACAGTTTCAACTCCTCCAGAATGAATAAAATAGAGAGGAAGTGTCATCAACGTGGAGAAACAGTGCCTGTGGCTCAAGTACACATCTCCCTTATAAATAAAAGCCGAATGGTGGTGGCACTTCTCTAGAACATTCCACACACTCCAAAATCAGTTCGCTCTCTGATCTGTCATTCAGAGGGTCTCCCTATCCACTGGCTGCTTTGCCTGAGTCCTGCCCCCAACATCCCTCCCCCCCCCCAGCCAGTCAGAACATAGAGGTTATTAGCATATGCAGCCTCATTGGTCTTTGCCTCGGAACACAGGTCGTTTGCATATACGACTTGATTGGCTTTTGCCTCTAACATTCTAAACAGTTTGCTGTTCTGAGGTAAAATGTGTCCAATCTCCAGGTGAGGGCTGGAGATCACTCAGAATTCCAACTGCTTTCCAGATGGCAGAGATCAGTTCCCCTGGAGAAAATGGTGGGCTATGTATCCTTATATGCTGCTGAGGTGGCCCCTGTATGACAGCCAATGTGACGTAGCAGTCAGGACTTCAGAGCACGGGAGAGGCTGCAGGTGTGTGGGGGGTGGAAAGCTGAAGAGTGAGGGGAAAATAAAGGTAGGTTGATGATTGGCTTGGATTGAGATATGGTTGCCAACTCCAGGTGGGAAATTCCTGGAGATGTGAGGGATGGAGCCTGGAGAGGGTGAGGTTTCAGGAGGCGTGGGACCTCAAACAGGTACAAAGCCATAGACTCCATCCTCCAAACCAACTATTCCCTTCTGGGAAACCATCGTTGCCAATCTCCTGGTGAGGGCTGAAGATCACTCAAAATTACAACTGTTCTTTAGGTAGCAGAGATCAGTTCCTCTGGAGAAAATGGTGGACTCAGTGTCTTTATACCCTGCTGAGGTCACCACAGCAAATTGACACTGAGTGTTCAAGGCCGGGGCACCCGCCCAGAGCCTCTTTCTAGAGGCTGTTGTATTTATTTCCGCAACGGGCCTTTTTTCTAGTACATTATAAAGACTGGGATGGTCTTTGGGAGGTAGGGGTGCTTGATGAAATCCATGCTTCAGTGATGTTAGGAAATGGCCTGGCAAAACAGCCAGAGTGAATGGGACAACTAGCTCTCAAACTCAGTAAGGTGCATCTAACCCAGAACAAGGGGTGGGCACCCAAGAAATATTACAACATAATGAAATTTATGAGGAGGAAATTAAAAAGCAACATACTTTGAACTGCAAAAAAAGGATCAGCTGAATGTGTAGCAGAACCACAAGAGGATGATAAGTTGAAGAAGAAGAGATTGGATTTATATCCCGCCCTTCACTACCCAAAGGTGTGTCAGAGTGGCTTACAAACTCCTTTCCCTTCCCCTCCCCACAACAGATACCCTGTGAGGTAAGTAGGGCTGAGAGAGCTCTGACAGAAACAGCTCTTTTTCAAGAACAGCTCTTATCAGAGCTACAGCTTGCCCAAGGTCATCCAGCCAGGTGCAAGTGGAGGAGGGGGGAAATCAAACCTGGTTCTCCCAGATTAGAGTCTGCGTACTTAACTACTACACAAAACTGCTGTCCTTAAAAGATTGGGCTAATATAAAGCCTCACTTCACATCTGAGTATCCTGTGAAGATGATAAAGCATATTACATCACGAGTCTCTTGACAAAAAGGAAAACCTGCAGTTAAACTACATGAGCAGTTAGTGATGCCATGTAGATATGGAATGGATTTGCTGAGGGTGGCAAATGCTAGTCCTTTCACTGGTCACCTGGCTGTGAGTGGAAATAATAAAAAGCCAAAAATCTATATGGGCAAAACAATCAGCAGAATGTGACAAGCACGTTAGTTGATGAATGTGATCCATCAACCCACATTAAATCTAAAGGTAATCACTTTTCAGTCGTTGACGTTATTACCCCTGTGTAACTACTGAAACGATAATACACTGCCCTTGAACAGTTTGATTAGGGACAGGACAAAAGAAGCAACAGAGAGGAAAGTGGAAAGGGACATTGAACCTCTCAAACTTACAAATACATCTTGATATCTGGCCAGTAATAAAGTCCATACAGAAGTCCTGGCAACACTACTGTGAAATGATAGCCAGATCAGCTTTATGGTAACAGATGACAGTGCGACACCTGTAGGCCCTCTACAAGGAAACTCCAGAGACGTACTGGATGAGTTCATCAGGGATCTCCCAAATTATAAAGGAGGAGATCAGTCTGACTTTTGTGTTGTCCACTGGATGAAGGAAACACAGCGCACAGTGGAACAGCTGAGCATTCCTGTTGATAAAGTGAATGTGCCAGGTCTTGTATTAGCAGGACCCACTAATTTGAAAGAGGGTCAGTCAGAAATGTGCAATTTGCTAATCTATATACTATTAGCCACCCATGGCTGCAATCTGTGGATATCTAAATCCACGGATCAAGGCCATGTGGAGGCTAAAAATATTTTTCTGGACGCTTAGAGGACTCCCCAGGTATGCAGAAAAATCTGAAAATAAAAAAGTACACGGGGGTATAAATTCTTTGAAAAATAAAGTAGCATTCTCTGTGCAGGGACAGACAACGCTCTTTAATAGTCACCTTTGGCAGTGGTGGCAAAGCATTCTGGGGGCAGAAGTGGGCTGGTGGAATTGGCAAAGCAGGTGAAGGCTGCAGGAGAGACTGGGGGCTGCACCAGGCCCATAGCAGTGATGAAGCAACTCGGGGACAACTGCAGGTCCAGAGGTGGCTGCAGGAGAGGCTGGGAGCTGCACCAGGCCTGGCAGCAGCTGTGGCAGAGCCTGGGAAAACAGATTTTTTTTTGGGGGGGGGGATAGATTTTTATTTTAAAAAACCTTTCAACATACATACAATTTGTTACAAAATACATGTATCTTCCAAATTACATATATATTGTCTAGTAATTTAACCTAACAATATAACCTATACTAAAAAATTTGGCGGCAATTTGGCGGCAAGCTGATTTAGATCAGAGAATCTGAATCGGCCTGCAGCAGCCTGAAAGCAGTCCGAATGGGCCATTTTCAGGGGTGCATTTGGTGAGAGTTCAGTTCTGTGTGGTATCTGAGAGACTGAGCATCATATATCTTCAATAGTGAATCTTTAAAGTTCTTAAAGAAGTTAAATTTACCAAGAGATTAAACTTTGTGGTCGCCTAAGAGAGATTCCTGTCAGGACTAAAACCTACAGTGTGTGTGATACAGTTAACAAATATATTTACAAGAACCTTATTCCCAGCCTGTTACATAATAACCAACCTCTTATTTTGTTCCTCTTTCAATAAATCCTATTTTATTTAAATATATCCCAGAAGTCATATCAATTCTTCCTCAGAACCACATTAGATCCTCGAAAACCTAGACCCCGTGTCACAATACCAACACCAGAAGCAAAGAGGATTTGGAATTTATTAAAATTCTTGGTGGCAGCTGGAACTACCTATTTTGTAAACACAAAATATAAATATTAAAGAGAAATACAGTCCTCCCCAATAAGAGGTCACCACAGTAATAATTAGCATTTCTATAAATTTCTATAAATGAAGTCCCCCTCATGGATCACTGCCTTGTCGTGGCGAGGGGGCTTGAGCGGTTCGATGAAGCTGTGGGCTATGCCGTGAAGGGCCACCCAAGACGGACAGGCCACAGCAGAGAACTCAGACCAAGCGTGATCCACCTGGAGAAGGAAATGGCAACCCACTCCAGTATCTTTGCCAAGAAAACCCCATGGACAGTAACAAAAGGCTAAAAGATATGACGCCGGAAGATGAGCCCCTCAGGGCAGAAGGTGTCCAATATGCTACTGAGGAAGAGCAGAGGGCAAGTACAAGTAACCCCAGAAAGAGTGAAGCGGCTGGGCCTTTCTTTCTTCAAATACATTAGAAACAGGAAACCAGCCAGGGAGGCAGTGGGGCCCTTGGACGACCAAGGGGTAAAAGGAGTATTGAAGGATGATAGGGAAATGGCTGAGAAGCTAAATGCATTTTTTGCCTCCGTCTTCACTGTGGAAGATGAGAAGTGCTTGCCCACTCCAGAACCACTGATTTCAGGAGGGGTGTTGGAAGACCTGAGTCAGATTGAGGTGATGAGAGAGGAGGTCCTAAAACTGATAGACAACTTAAAAACTGAAAAATCACCAGGCCCAGATGGCATACATCCGAGGGTTCTGAAAGAACTCAAATGTGAACTTGTAGATCTCCTGACAAAGATATGTAATCTTTCCTTAAAATCTGCCTCCATTCCTGAGGATTGGAAGGTAGCAAATGTCACTCCCATCTTTAAAAAGGGTTCCAGAGGAGATCCGGGAAATTACAGGCCAGTCAGTCTGACGTCGATACCGGGTAAATTGGTGGAAACCATTATTAAGGAAAGAATTAGTAGGCACATAGATGAACAAAACCTATTGAGGCAGACTCAACATGGGTTCTGTAAGGGAAGATCTTGTCTCACTAACCTGTTAGTGTTCTTTGAGGGGGTGAACAAACATGTGGACAAGGGGGATCCAA